TTCAGAAAAATCAACATATTTTAATATTCCAAATATAACAGAGGATAAAAACAGAATCCAGAAAATCAAGGAAAAAGTCATTTCTATAACATTATGATTGTGGAATACATCCCAGAATCCTTCCCAAAGAAGAAAATCATAATTCAGAAGCTTTAGGAGCTCCATCTAATGGATCAGAATGTGACTATACATATCAGCAACTTCACCAACACCCCTAAAATCTCTTCCCTAGCAGGTTAACTAAAGTTGATTCTCATTATTTAAGCACTTAAATTACCTGTAAAAAATCTTAGTATCTTTTTCACAGTTTTTACCTGAGAATGCTATTGTAAAAGGTCATTCACCCAAATTCTCAAAGGCCTACATACACATCCATTCCTAAACTTGGAAAAAGGAAGAAAAAAAGCTTAATACCTTATGACAGATAAAGCAGAAAACTGTAATATGAGTACAAAATTACTATCCCACAACAAAGGACAAGTGGATCCTACTCAAAAAGTCTCACATTTAGTCATTAATAAGCACTATATCATCCTCAATAAAATTACTTGACATTTCCATTTTACTAACCTCTCTGCAGGTCTTAAACTTTTCCTACTTTATTAGCTCAGTACATTAAAAGCCATTCTTCAGTAAAACTAAATAATAACTCACAATATTCTGAAAGTGATTTATCATCACAAAACTGTGAAAGAATACAGAGATTTCTACCAATAAGAGTCACTTTAGAACACTTAATGAAAATCCTGAACCTGGTCACAAAGAGAATTTTACATTTAGAGCTGGCAATGTAGTTCAAGAGATAGAGTGCCTGCCTAGTAAACAGAAGGATGTAAGTTCAAACCTCAATACTGACAAAAATAAAGGCAGGGGGGGAGGACAGGGAAGGGGAGGAGGGGGGAGGAGGAAAAGAATTACATTGGTGAAATGCAGCAACACACCCTTTTTTTAAATTTTTTTTTATTATATTCATATGTGCATAAAATGTTTGGGTCATTTCTCCCCCCTTCCCCCTGCCCCCTCCCTCACCCTCCACCACCCCGCTGTCTCCCTTATCCCCCCAACCCATCAATACCAGGCAGAAACTATTCTGCCCTTATCTCTAGTTTTGTTGAAGAGACAGTATAAACAATAATAGGAAGGACCAAGGGTTTTTGCCAGTTGAGAGAAGGATAGCTATATAGGGAGTTGACTCGCATTGCTTTCCTGTACATGTGTGTTACCTTCTAAGTTACTTCTTCTTGAACTAACCTTTTCTCTAGGTCCTGTTCCCCTTCTCCTATTGGCCTCACTTGCTTTAAAGTATCTGCTTTAGTTTCTCTGCATTGAGAGCACCAAAAGCTATCTAGTTTTTTGGGTGTTTTACCTATCCTTATACCTTCCTTGTGTGTTCTCGCTTTATCATGTGACCAAAGTCCAATCCCCTTGTTGTGTTTGCTCTTGATCTAATGTTCACATATGAGGGAGAACATATGATTTTTGGTCTTTTGGGTCAGGCTAACCTCACTCAGAATGATGTTCTCCAGTTCCATCCATTTACCTGCTAATGATAACATTTCGTTCTTCTTCATGGGTACATAAAATTCCATTGTGTATAAATACCACATTTTTTTAATCCATTCGTCAGTAGTGGGGCATCTTGGCTGTTTCCATAGCTTGGCTATTGTGAATAGTGCTGCAATAAACATGGGTATGCAGGTACCTCTGGAGTAACCTGTGTCACATTCTTTTGGGTATATCCCCAGGAGTGGTATTGCTGGATCATATGGTAGATCTATGTTTAGATTTTTAAGAAGCCTCCAAATTTTTTTCCAGAGTGGTTGTACTAGTTTACATTCCCACCAGCAGTGTAAGAGGGTTCCTTTTTCCCCACATCCTCGCCAACACCTGTTGTTAGTGGTGTTGTAGCAACATATCCTTAAGTGCAATTACCATTTAATATTCATTTGCCATTTCAATTGAAAATCATCCAGTCAATAATTTCTAGGACTATAATTTGAGAATACTGTGATAGGAATTTTGATTATGTTATTTGAAATTTTTGAATGCAGAAAAATAACTGGCATTTGTTCTTTTTAAAAACAAGGTTATGTTCATGGTGATATACTTTCTATATAAGAATGAATATATAATAAAATCTTTTTAAATAAAAAACTTTGAAAAATTTTTAAAGAATGACTATAGAATTTTTATACCTGTTGAAATCACCATAAGAAGGAGACTAAGGAAGAAAGGAGAAAAATAGAGGACATGAACCACTTCAAGTTGTAACACATATACACATGGAAAAGTCACAAGGAAACTCCCTATAGAGCTATCTTAAACAAACAAAAATAGCTTTTTTCAAAAAAGGAGAACAGGAAGGTAAAACAGGTCCTGGCTGGGGAATGGTACCAGTGGGAGAAGGGAGGATATAAGGAAAGGGTGAAGGAGGCTAAATGTAGTAGAAATATTATGTAGTCATGTATGAAAATAGAAAAATAAGACCTGTTGAAACTATTCCAGGAATGGGGGGAGGAGGGATAAAGGAGAATGATGGAGGGATGAATTCAACTATGATATATTTTAAGAACTTTTATAAATACCACAATGTACTCCCAGTACAATAATAATATAATTTTTAAAAGACAAAGCAGAAAAACAAGGTTATATTCAGACTTAGATGCTAGTTTCTCCAATACATATAAGATTTCATTCTAAATTCCCAAAGCAACTGGTCAATGGTAGTCAATACTATGTCAACTTGATGATGCTTTTGTATAATATGCTTTCTACAAACTGGGTAGACTTCTCATTACCAAATTTTGCATGGTACCAGAAAAATCACTATTGTTATTTTAAGCCAACAGAAACATTCTCAGCCTAAGAAACCAAAAACTACTACAAAGTTAAAATTTTTCTTAATTACTGAATTCACTTTTCTAAAATCAAATGCAAAATTTCTCTTGGTAATCAAGGCTAAAATATTGTAATTGCACAAGGTGTGATTTTTCTACAATTCCCTCAAAAAGAAAAAAGACATTAAGAGAATGTGGATAAATATATGATCTGACAAACCTTTCGTGGAGATTGAACAAACTGATAAAAACTACATCACCACATGTCTATTTAAATAACGAGAAGAAAGAGGCAATGCTGAAGTCTCCTTGCCTCTAAGAGTGTCCAGCTTAGTTCAGGAAGAAGGATGTCTACAAAGCTGGGATTCAGTTCATAGGTTTAGCTCCCTAAAACCTGAACTGCTGAAAACAGGTCTTTCATAATTTTTCTTTATTGTGAATTACATAATTGTATGTTTCAATGTGTTTCTAATAACAGAGCAAATTAACATGATAAAATGTAGAAATGTCAAAATGATGCCAATTAATATAATGTTAGCAGATCTTTCTAAGATTCAAAAAATAATTTTTAAGTTAAGTTTTTAAGAATCCACATTCTTTTATTTCCTGAGGAACTTCAGATCAGTCTGTCAACACAAAGAGAGATTTTGTTTCTGGGTTTTTTTTTTTTTTTTCAAGCTTTCCAAGATTTCCAGTATCTCATCTTTACCAGAAAGTGTACTTAATAGCAGCTAATTTGCAAACATCAAATTTAAGATTACAGCTTCAGTAAAACAAGAAGAATCAAAGTTTGCTTCAAATATTTAATTGGCATAGAATGAACAGACTAATTGAGAAAAGACTGACATGGGGGCTCCACTTTGAATTAAAGTTTGCTTCAAATACTTAATTGGCATAGAATGAACAGACTAATTGAGAAAAGACTGACACGGGGGCTCCACTTTGCCATCCCTTGTGTGCTGCATGAACCAATTTTCATGTTACTTTAATAAAGACTATCATCTATAGTATACAAATTCATTACTCCTTGCTGAAAGTTTCACATCTTAACTCTTAACGCACATGTGCAAACTAAGTACATGTTACACTAAAAGGATAAGAACAAGAAACTAGAATACCAGTTTTTAAATTTATGGGGGGGTTGTTTTTGGTTTTGGTTTTGTTCTTGTTTATCAATCCAACCATGGAAATGATTGCTGGCAATATAAGACACTTAGAGCCAATTTTAACATTACTAGATCTTCAAGTTTTCTTCAAAATGTTATGGAGAATATTATTTTCTCATAAAGAATTAACCAGATCTTAACGTTATAACTGACTCCAAAGAATAAACCACAAACAAAAGTGCCTTAAATATCAAATGCCTAATTTTTTAATAATAAGAGATAATCCAATAAGTATCCATCAGTAAATATATTTTGTCCTAGACCTATAGAAAATAAAAATCCCAAAAAAGTCAAAAAGAAATTATTAAATTTTATACTTTTATTATAATTAGAAATCAATTTTACTTAACCAATTTCAGGTAAAACCATTTTTTAAGAAATACCAGTTTTTTTCCAATAAGTCATTTTCTGATCATAGAACTTCCTTGTACTTAAAGCTTTATATTTGGTAACTTTACAACAAAATGCAATAAAGGCAGTAAATGCTAAATATTTGCTCAAAAATTACTTCTTTCTTTTGATGGTAGTAAAGAGTCTGAGAAAGAAATTCATGTTTTGGGGAGGTTTTTTTTTTTTTAATACTTTTTGAAAATCTCACAAAAATCTGTTTAAGAGAAAATAGTGTTCATTTCTTCTAACACAGATATACTTCCTATTCAAATATTCCCATACATGCACATGTTTAATGTAATAGACAATGATTAGTACCTAACATACATGATCAACTGAGCTGAATTCTGTACTTGGGTCAATCCTTACAGCAACGGTAACCCTAGTTTATGTGTAGGGGACCAAGACACAAGGAAGTTCAACAGTTTACTCAGAGCCACACAGTCAGTAACATGGCTGAGATTCAAACCCAGATAACCTGGTGCCACATGTGATTTCTGTCTGGATCATTGTACTACACAGTACATAAACTACACATGGTATCTGGCACAATGACTGCCGCCTAATAGATAACAAATAAAAAAGCAACTATTATTGTAATATTTATCTCTTCTTTACTTACTTTGTGCTAACTCTGGATTTCCTTTCAGATTCATCATCTTTGGAATTGAAGGACCATACACATCTGCATCCAACAAACCAATGGCCTTTGACTGTAAGAAAACAGAATTTACCATAAGATTATTCACATTCTTCATCAAAGATAAAGCTATACTTAGCAATAGTAAGTGTGACTACTGAAAAGACAATCTGTAAAATATTCCAAAATCATAACCTAAACTTTCAAAGCAACAGTAAGTAAAAGCATAAATTGCTTAGGTAAATCCTTTTGATTTATTATTATCTTCTAAACAGCTAACTAGATAAAGCCATCCCATATGCTTTACACATTGCAGTTCAGGTCTCTCATATAGTCTCAAAAAGATTAAGACCTTTTTTTTAATCTAAGCATGATTTTTTTTTAAATGGTACTAGGTGAGGGGGTATGGGTTTTGTTGTTGTTTGGTTGGTTGGTTTTGTTTTTCCTAACTCAGGGCAGGCACACTACCACTTGAGTCACACCCCCAGTCCTTTTTGCTTTATTTATTTTTCAGATAGGGTCTTGCTAACTTTTTGTGTAGGCCAGCTTCAAACCACAATCCTCCAGATCTCCACTCTGGAACAGCCTACATTACAAGTATGATCCACTATGCCCCACCCTAAGAATGATTTTGAGAATAATATGTAAATAAAGTTAAAATAATGATTTATTATGGCAAACAAAACCCCAAGGTGGACCACTAACTTTTGGGAAGTCTGTCTAACATACGAAATACAAAATATAAAAAGATTCATGAAAACAAGACACATATAAAGCAAATGAGAAATTCTGATGTAGATAAAAAAAGATGGAAGTGCTAACAAGGATACTGATAGACATAATGCAGAGACAACCTCTTACAATCAAGTCACCATTAAATATCTAATGTCTTTGGAAGATTCATAAACAACTAAGACTGTTTTCTCTGATGACCTGTTCAGCTGCCAAAAGGCAGAAGATCCCAGTGGTGACTGGTCTCAGCCTGCTGCCAGGTAATCAGCGCTTAGTCAAGAGATGGAAACAAAATCCACTATTCTAAAATGTCTCCTTTTCCCCTCCCCCAAATCAATCTGCTATTCGTTTTTCTCATCTGCCAATAAACTAATACTATGCTTCACCAAGTCTTAGCGTTCTCCTCCCACTCTCCCCATATGCTGACAAAATAAAGCTCTTTTCTCTGTCAGCAAGAAAGGTTTTAAAACTGAAACAATCCCTCATCTTTCTTGTTATCTACCTATTTCCAGACACAAAATTACTTTTTAAACCTGTTGTCTGGTTCATATAAGTACACAAAATAAGGTAAATTCAACATTTATGTTCCTAATTTTACAATGACTCAATTTGCAGTTCTAAGAAAAACACTTAATATTCCCATGTGACTCAGTCTCTCAAAGGTAAAAAAAAATCACAGTTTACTGCAAAATACATGAAGAGACAGGAAATTTTCTTTGCTTTTTATAGGATCGGTGCTATATAAAATTTAAGACTAATGCACTGCATAAAGTACTAGCTTTAAAAATGAAGGTACATTCCATGAGAAATTTTGACACACTTAACTAACAAGAAAATTTAGTTGGATTAAAATGGAATTAAACTTACTCTGAATAACAAATGAGGGAACCAACTGTTAACACTGTTGTCTAAGGGTCTTCTAATTCTGTAAGTATCATTCTAGAATTTCACCTCTTGTCAGTATCTTTTTGTGGACTAAAAACTACCACAAAATAATAATAAATACTAATTTCAAAAATTAAGATTCTTTTTCCTTCTCTTATTTATATCAATTTTGGGTTAACAGGAAAAGATTAAGTCTCATGTTTCAAACTGATCTTCTAATAATACCTGTCAAGCAAAATAATTTAGCCTTTTGAAGTTTATGTTTTCATGAAACATGAACATAGCCATGTGTTCCAACTAATAACACTGCTACAGTCAATCTCATATTCACTAAATCTTCAAGTTTCCCTCAAAATCTGAGATCTGTCATCTATCCTGTGTACTAGATGAAAACCAGGCCTGCATAAAGATGAATCTTTGGCACCATGAGCCAAGAAAAAACTAAAGGTCGGCCCTAACATTTCTGCGCCAAGAGTGAACTTTATTTAAACTACCCAGATAGCTCCCAATATACATTATTATACAAAAATAAAGGAGGAAGGGGAAGTTCAAAGATTTTAGAATTCCTCTGCTTCCTAGAGAATGGCACTAATGAAAACTGAGAAACTAATATGTACCAGGTTCTTGGTATACTCTAATAGTTAATCAAATTTAATTCCGATGCTTGTTTACATCAAAAAGAAAACAGAGGGAAGCAAAGTAAGAAGGCGGAGAGAAGAGTGAAGGAAAAAGAAAGAGGGAAAGAGGCAAAGCAAAGGAAGGAGGGAAGATGTAAAGGATGAAGGGAAATTAATCAGCAATGTTATATTAACACCATGGAAAAACTAGGCTTTTGCAGATAGCTCTATGGACAAATCAGAATCTAACAACATAACCACTTTAAATCACTCAGACACAGACTTTTCCTGATTATATCTTCCCACTGCTTAAATTCCTTCTGAGTGCTGGGGGTGTGACTCAAGGGGTACAGCACTTGCCTAGCAAGCACAAGGCCCCGAGTTCAAACCCAAGTATAGTTAAGGAAAAAAAAATTCTTCTGATACCAGAAACTAAGCATTTAATTATACTTGTCATTGACTCCTTACATTAAAACAACAAGGTGGTATAATCTCTACTTACGGATAAGAAAACTAAAAACTAACACTCAAAATAACCATGTTTTCTCTCTTACATATTCTTTCTTAGAATGAAGCGGAATGGAAAATTTAACACAAAATTACAAACCTCCACCAAAACTTTAACACAATCTGACTACAAAAAATTTAAATATAGAATACATCTTTCATAAAGGTCCAACTAATAAGTGCTTTAAACTTTCTGGATTATATGATCTCTATGGCAACTACTCAACACTACCATTGGAGCATTAAAGCAGCCATAAACAACACTGAAATTAATGAGCATGGCTGTGTTCCAATAAAACTTTACAAAAACAAGCAAGATTTGGTCCATAGGTTAATTTAGAGAATAAACTTCTCATGACTAAGTTATTCAATCAGCCAACATAAGAGTCAAATTACCTCTTTAGTGTCAAAGGAGCTGTCTCAGTAGAGATCTACTTCATCCTTAATTGGTTAAATTTTTTTAAATAATAAAGAACATACTTTTCAGACTATTTCCCTAGAATTAAGTTACCATTGTCTTGCTTAGATTTTATATACATGAATAAAATCACTGTCGATTAACAGAAACACTAAAGCCTATATTAATTAAATACTGTCATATTTAGAATTGGCATAGCTATTGGAAAGTACAATTGACCCAGGGTTCCATGCTTGCTAGGCAGGTACTCTACCATTTGAGCTACAGCCCCTACCCTACATTTACCATTTCCATAAAACTAAGCTTAAATAGGTTTTCAAGTCCAGAATTGAATCATGTTCAAAAGGTACCACATACACTTTATTTGTTCTCATAATTTATTTCATTATTTTTAAATAGGTTTCTATTTAAAATATGTAAATAGTCTTTCAATTTAATTTTCCAACCAGATAGTTCTATGCTATAAGAAAATAAATGAGGAAGATAGATGGCTATAAATAAATGTATGTAGCTGGGTATTTACCTAGGCTAAGTTTTATGAACACTTTCTGCCTCATTCTTCCCATAAAAATTACATTTAGTAAAAAAGCTCCAACTAGGATTTGCTTTGCCTTTAATTTCAGCCAGGCTCAAAAGAATAATTACAACTAAGCCTTACACAACAGATAAAAGAAAATTATTATTGGCAAAAATAACTATAAACTTACTATTGTAAAATGTGATTTTCATCTTTAATGTGACCATAAACATAGTCAAACATGTTGTTATTTAACATATACTCTTTTTCTGACTCTTGGCAAATACTCAAAACCTAGCAGATAAGCCAAGACAGATCAAACCCCAAGATTCCATTTAGATTTTTGAATTTGTTTCTTTATAATTTATAACACTCTATGAGAGCTGCAAAAGGTAGCAGAATTATTCAGAGTGATTATACTGTTTCATTACTACTTCATGAAAGCTGCAATTTAAGAGCCTACAAGTCCTCTTTTTTTGTGTGAAGGATTTCAAAGGCATCAACATTTTTGATATTGCTCTGTTCTTCCAACAGAATTTACCTTTAAAAAGATTGTAAGGCTTCATGACATGTTCCTTTTATCCCTCTCATCTGCTAATAGAACCCATCAAAACAGTATCTTAGAGCACTCCCACCCAATTATTTCTAAACAAATATTCCATTAAGACCTACTTAAGGTTGTTCTTTCCACAGAAGGACCCCGTCAAGACTTTATCCACAATGCCCTACACATTAAAGTCAATTTAATCTTACACTGGCAATTGATATTTATTCAATTTAGAGATGATTTGGGGCTCTTCTTTCTTCTCTTTCTGCCTATCTTTAAATCAAGCTGTCATTCATAAGATTTACAGTTTGTAATAGAGAAAACACGTTTCCGAATTCTGTTACCCAGGATTAAATAAGAATCTGATTGTCAGAAGTACTAATGGTTGAACAAAGTAATAAGAGAACAATTTCCTACTGCTTATCAAAGGATTGTCTACATTTTCAAGTTCAGTCAGGCAAGAAAGAGGAGCAAGGACAGCATAAAGGGAAAAGTTCACCCAGCCTTCTAGAGCACAACGAGAACGGAGTTCCTGAAAAGTACAGAAGAATCCCAAATAATAAGTAACTGCTTGCAAAAGGGCTGAAAAGTGGAAATGAAAGAAAATTAATATATTTTGAATTAAAGACTATTTTAGAGTAGAAAAAAAAACAAGTGGTCATCTTAGTCCTCAGTCCACTTTTTAGTGATAAAGAAACTAAAGCCTAGAGATAAAGTTACAGCTAAACCCAGTCCTCCAATTGTTTCCAGCTTATGATGAAGGCTAAATGCAATCACCAGCCACTCATCTTTCTTTTTCTTTAATTATCTCCTGCCCTCCCCTTTTCACTCCAATCCAGACACACCGCCT